CAGTTCTTCTTCTTCTTCTTCTTCTTCTTCTTCTTCTTCTTCTTCTTCTTCTTCTTCTTCTTCTTCTTCTTCATGACTGGACAGGAGGTGTGAATAGTGAAGTTCAAAGTAAGAAACAAAAGAAAAGAAAATAATAAAAACATGTATTAATTTGTCGACGGCAATCCAAGGGAAACAGCTTCACATGAATCGATCTATTAATTATTTCAGTTACTTCCCCTCTATTTTACTAAATATATCAGTTATTTCCCCTACATCAGTCACTATCGACAATTAAAATTTTGTTTAAAATATGTTATAACTATGGCTTCTTGCTTGAGTTCTTTGCCCCCTTGTTGACCAAGATAATTCTAAGCCCTCTACACACGGGAATACATGGCTGAAAAGTTTAGAAAGACACTTTGGGAGTGGTTTAAACTGAACATGAAGAATCAACCCTGACTTAATTCCCTTTCTGCAAATAACACTAAGTCGTAGATATTATAAAGCTCTAAATCTGAACATCTCTCTTGATTGCCACCCCTACCCCCACCGCCCTTTTTTTTAGCCCACTAGGCGCACAGAAACCAATATATCCCTTGACCTGGCCAAAGCCAGCCAATTAATTGAAATAGAGTATGATGATGGCAGAGTAAATTCATAAATATCTTTAAAATAAAAGAAGAAAAGGTTACCGTATCCTAAATTAATTCATTTGTTATTTTTACATGCATTCTTAAAGACTACGAGAGAGAGTAAAACAGTTTACTCGTTTCATTTAATTATGATAGGCCATATCACAGTGCTTATTCAATTAGATATGAATTCCCCTCTGTAGATTGTTCACCAGCGCTCTGGTGTGGCTTGCTACTTATTTCCAACCAAACATAATAATATTATCATTATATCGCCCTTATCTCTCCTACTTATTTTCATTAAACGTTACTCTCGAGTGACACCTCTAATTTTCGGCACCTGTATGACCTATTTATTATGCAAGACCTGTAAAAGTACTACTTAAAGGGGGGGGGGGACTAC